GGACAGGGGCAGGGACAGGGTCAGGGACAGCTTCTGTGGGGACACATTATGGGAAAGGGTCAGGGACAGCTTGGGATGGGGTCAGGGACAGCTTCTGTGGGGACACATCATGGGATGGGGTCAGGGACAGCTTCTGTGGGACAGGGGTGGGGACAGGGTCAGGGACAGCTTGGGATGGGGTCAGTGACACTTCTGTGGGGACAGGGACAGCTTGGGATGGGGTCAGGGACAGCTTCTGTGGGGACAGGGTGGGCTCATTGTCCCCCCGGGGGTCACCTGGCCCTGCTTGAGGCGTGGTGGGGCGTGGGTGTCCCCCCATCCCATGGGTGTCCCCTCATCGTGTGGTGTCCCCTCATTCCATGGGTGTCCCCTCATCCCATGGTGTCCCCCATCCCAGTTAGGGGTGTGGTGTCCCCCATCCCAGTTTGGGGTGAGGTGTCCCCCCATCTCCTGGTGTCCCCCCATCCCAGTTTGGGTGCGGTGTCCCCCCATCCCATGGGTGTCCTCCTATCCACTGGTGTCCCCCATCCCAGTTTGGGGTGTGGTGTCCCCCCATCCCCTGATGTCCCTCATCCCTTTTGGGGTGTCCCCCCCACCCCATGGTGTCCCCCTATCCTCGTGGTGTCCCCCATCCCATGGGTGTCCCCCCATCCCCTGGTGTCCCCCATCCCATGGGTGTCCCACCATCCCCTGGTGTCCCCCATCCCATGGGTGTCCCACCATCCCCTGGTGTCCCCCCACCCCATGGGTGTCCCCCATCCCCTGGTGTCCCCTCATCCCATGGATGTCCCCTCATCCCATGGTGTCCCCCATCCCAGTTAGGGGTGTGGTGTCCCCTCATCCCATGGTGTCCCCCATCCCAGTTTGGGGTGCGGTGTCCCCCCATCCCATGGGTGTCCTCCTATCCACTGGTGTCCCCCATCCCATGGGTGTCCCATCCCAGTTTGGGGTGAGGTATCCCCCCATCTCCTGGTGTCCCCCATCCCAGTTTGGGTGTAGTGTCCCCCCCATCCCCTGATGTCCCTCATCCCTTTTGGGGTGTCCCCCCCCATCCCCTGATGTCCCCCCACCCCCTCTGGGCTGTCCCCACGCTCACCACGCCGTTGATGCCGCCGCGCAGGGGCTGCCGGGGCACCACCACCAGGTAGGTGACGATGCCCTTGTCCCGCAGGTACTCGCAGCGGGACCCGCCCTCGCCCGGCTCCACCTCGAACTCGCCCCGCAGGCAGTCCAGGGTGCGCTGGGAGATGTGCACCCGCCTGGGGGGGGACACGTTAATTACTGGGCTTGATTAATTACTGCGCTGGATCGCCTGGGTCGTTTAATCGATCGTTGGGTTGGATCGACCGGATCGTTTAATCAATTATTGCATTGGATCGCCCGGATTGTTTAATTAATTATTGTGTTGGATCATCCAGATTGTTTAATTAATTATTGTGTTGGATCACCCAGATCGTTTAATTATTGAGTTGAATCAACCTGATTATTTAATTATTGAGTAGGATCAACCTGATCATTTAATTACTGTGTTGGATCAACCAGATCATTTAATTATTGAGTTGGATCAACT